TAAAATATTACATGAGTAAAAGATTATTAGTGAGGTGAGAGAAAGGAGCTCTACAACATAAAAAGCTGCAGTGAACAGGAGGGGACAGCTGTCCCTACTTGTCTATCAACTGCACTTCCTCTTGGCTATGCCTGGACACCATTGGAAAAGAACCACTGTAAGTAGTCATTCCAGCAGGTGTTTCCAAGCCTTTCCAGATAAAAGAGTGCTGCTTAAGTATGCCAACAACATGAAAAAAATGAATTAGTTGTAAAACTTAGAAGACCGACCCAAGAGGAAGCAGAATATGCATATCCTCCAACATATTGCTGTAAGAACACATTGTACAGGTGGGTCCTTTACTGAGACACACAGACAGGTATGACCCAGCATAGATCTTTCACCTATTTTGACACTTATTTTAAAAGCTAAATGAGGCAGGGGGCAGAGGGGTGAAGGGAATATCACAAAGCAATAGCATGTCTCTCCCAAATAGGCTCAATACTGAAGTTCAGCAAAGCATCCTCACTCCCTATCTGAGCCAATAAAATGTAACCCCTCACCCTGCCACAAAACCAAACCAAACCAGCCTATCACCAAACAAAAACCAACCAACAAAAAATGAACCAAAACCAAACCAAAACAATGCTGAAACTCAATTAAAGGCAATACTCCCAGGGCTTTTAGTCATGTTAGGATCAGTAAAAATACATGGATTGTTTTATTTGTGGGGGTGGGAATACACTTTCCTCAGATTATTTTCCAGCAGAAGCAGAGCAGAAAGGCACATCTCCTGCTCAATTTGTCTATGGGCTCACAAGTGATGATGTATGGACAGCAGTGTTTAAATGGCACCTCTCACCCAGTGACCCCAAAGTGCTTTTACTTCCCTTAATGAACTCAGCTTCACAGCAGCTTGACAGCTTCATTTTACATGGGAACTGAGAGAGAGATGAAGTCATTCATCTGTGCCATGCTGCAGCACAAAATCAGCTCCTGCCAGCCCAGTGATTTATGCATCAGACCACACTTGCCTTTGCACAGCATCCTGTCACCAGGGAGGCAGCACACCTCCCATCCCTGTCACTTGCTCAGGCACCACTGTGAACACCATTGCATAGGCACTTTCCAACCCCAGCCCTGCAAAATGTTAAGTCAACAGTGGCTTAAGACACTCCTTACCTCAGAGACTCAGGACTGCTCTTTACATTATTGATGTTTCCTGGCAACTTCACCCTTCTTCCCCATTAGCTTTGGGTAAGAAAAGTCTCATTCTTTGACTAGACAACTAGGGAAGCAGCTACTAGTGGGAAAAAAAACTACTAAAAAAAAATAAAAGAAAAAAGAATAAACCACCACCCAAACCAAACAAACATGGGAAGTTTGATTTTCTGAACATTTAGAACCTGGACCACCTTCTGGATTACAGGAATTTCATATTGCTGCAATGTGGGCATTTCTTGTGTACTTGCACAATCCTCTACATGCCTAGGTTCTTCCATTGAACATGGGCATTACTGCTTAAGTTAAAGACCAACATGAAAAGACAAAAATGTTCTTACAGCACAAGGACTTCAAAATTTATTAATCAACAAATTGGGATTGAAATGCTCCAAAACAGTAAGGTATTGTCTGCAATCAAAAGGCCCACTGCTGTACCAAATGAGGAATCACAACAGTTCTGTCTTGGCAGATGTTACATGAAATTTCCTTGAACAAGAATATGAGCTAGATCTCACTTGAGTCTCAGAAAAAAACAAATTTTACTGCTTTGGTACCAAGAGACAGCATCCTGACTCCCTGTGCCACCATTTCAGGAGGCAAAGTACTCAGACTAACACCAAGGGACCAATGTTCTGATGAAGCAAAGTTTCACCCTGAGACAGGTCAAGCCATGGCTCTCCTGGCAAACATTCCACAAACAAGATCCTACAGGACCTTTGCATAGGAGAGTTAATTTGCTTTGAATTCCCTATCTTCTGCCAACACAGGATTGCACAAGATGGGGATAAGGGTGAGTAGACCAAAGGGCTCAAGATCCTAAAGCTTCTCCAGTGTTATACTTCAGTTGGTGACCTGGTTTTTGGTGACCCCACATCACTGCCCTCATAAGTTTTTAATGGGTTTTATCTTAATAGATGAAACATGTATTCATGTATTTCCAAAAGAGACTTGTGCTGGTGCCATGTGAAAGCAAACTCCTCAATGTGACTTACTATAGCTTGCATTAGGTAACTTACCCTGCAGCTGACATCTTAAACTCAAGTAACTCTGGACAACTCCTGCATTTCTGCCAAACTAAGAGTCATAATTATGCAATTCTGTATTTCCAAAAGGCTTAAAATTTACAAGGTCATAGTTTTACTTCCCTTTAGTGAGAACAACAAACAGGAATTTACACTTCCCTTTCTCTTACCAGTAGAGTCACTCATTTTTCCCTTATTGTTTAATTAAAGCTCCTTCAGCCCTCAAGAACCTTGTTCCTGTATTTCTGGAGGCAGCCTAATGGCTCTAAAATAAGTGTAAAGAAAAGAGGAGGAAGACAATTCTTCATAGGCTAGATGTTATTATTAATTTTAAAAAAATAATAACAAGCTCTTCCCATGATTTCTCTACAGTTTAGCAAAAATCAAACTAAAAAGAGAAATGCAAACTGGCACCTAACCATGTTAATACTCTGGTACATCCCTTCAGTTTCGTATTTCCCTACATATTCTGCCCTTCTCCATATTTTATTATAGTGAATTTGCTCCCAGTTATGTGGAACTTCTCTAGATTAAATTAAAACTAGAAAAACTCTTTAGGCAGATGCTTTACTGATGATTGGCACCAATCTTTCCAATCTCCCAGCTTCCAGACAGATTCACCAACATTTGATGCTTGCATTCCTCTTGGCCCTCACATTTTCCATTTTGAGATGTTATTAGACAAAGAGCAAAAGGGAACCAGAGACCATCTTCTATCTCTGTCTGCTGAGTAGATACAAAGTGGGAACTCTGTTCCATGACCAGATCCATTAAACAAAATGAAAAAAAGGGAAATGAGTGGTTAGAAGGGCAACCCCTGCTTTAAAATAAAATGCTATCAAGGAATCAAAACACAAATGAATGTGAAGCATTCATAAATGGGATAAATAGCATTTAAATCTAGCTAATGACAGAATGGATTGGGGAAAAAAAATACTGTTCCCTCTAACAAGCCTACTGCTGGAGCAGTGATTCTACTGATTTAAGGACCTTCAGGAGCTTGGGTTTCTTAGTGGTCTTGCAAAGTACCCTTGAACCAGAATGACTGAATGGATTTCAGGGGTAGCAGAGACATAACAATACAAAATTCCATTTCCAGAACAAACTGCTGCCAGCTTCAGAACAGAGAGCAAAGTTCGCTGCTCTGAGTTTGTGATGTTACAAACCTCTAAGTCAATTGATCTTCTGATGTTTTATTTTGGTACTGCAAAGTGTGTGCTTCTACCATTAACTCTTCCAAGGGTAACTCTTGAAGTCCTATGCATGCTGTGCCTTACCCAGCTATTTACAGTAACAGAAGTAGAAGATCATGCTCAGGGCAGGGTGGCAGGGATCGTTTTTCCAAATTGCACATACTAGTTTACACAACTACTAACTCTGTAGCTCACCACTGGTTTATCCCTAGCACACACCTCAAGAGCAGGGTTTCAGAGCACTTACAGATGAGGCAGATACTTCAAAGCACAGCAAGCAGGGCAGAGTTTACCTCTTTGCTACACTGCTTCTGTCTGCAGGATTAAGCCTAATACCCCCTGCACCTCATCCCCATCACCTGAGACAGTGCCTCCAGAACAATGCTATGCAATTTAAAGCATCAACACAGTCACATATTACCTTGCATGCCACATCCCATCAACCCAGTTCCTGCTTCACCAACTTTCAAGGAAATGAAGCTTGTTCATTCCTCCCTTTCCTGTCACTGTTCTGAGGACACATTCTCTTCCCTCCCCTTTTCTTACCCTGAGTTTACTCTCTGCCTCCTGGCACACACCTACTCTACTTTTCTCATCCCTCTACCTACTTCTATGAACAAAATCCTTCTGCAGTTTTCCCATATCTCACAGATGCCACCCCATCTCTCACTCTCTCCTTGAACACAGTCACATCCCAGCTACCCAGCCACAGATGCCACCCCACACATCCTTCCAGCCAAGCACAGAAGTAGCAGCTCCAGGCAGTTCTTCCTGACTCTTCCTGCCTCAAGAGAAAACAGAAATAGCAACCAGGAACATGCTTCCCTTGGGGAAAAAACCAAAAAGCCTCACCCACCAGCAAGCCCCACCACCACCAACACCCAGCAGCAGCACTGCCTAAGCCACCACATGCTCAACTCTCTGCAGCTTCCTCCCTAAAATGAGATGCTGCCTGACATGTCACAAGCTTTCTGGCTTTCTCTTCATCCAGCAGGTCACACTCTTCCCTCCACACCTCATCCCTCCCTGAGCTCCACGGGCCTATCAGTAATCAAGCAGTAGCTGGGGCATGGGAAGTAAGGCCCTGATGACAGAGAAAGCCAAGCTCAGTTTGTGCCCAAACCAAAACACTTCAGAGACACATTTAGCACTTTCCTACTTGAGCACAACCCAATCAGCACCAAACCCTGCCCCACTCCAGCCTTTTCCCCTGCACCTTCCAGCTGCAGCCAATTTAGCTGCTGAGCATTTTGCTTTAAGAAGAAAAGCCACATACACAATGTCTACGCTGTATTTTCAAATAAGTACAACCACTGATAGGACAGAGCTCTGAAAGGCCATTTATTATGAGAGAAGAGAGCTAGTCTTTTGCTATTGTGTCTGCTGTAGCTGTTGTGGGTTTGAAGAGCATGTGCAGCTGTGGCTGTGAAGAAATCCATTTTGCCATTGATTCCCACGGCTGGCATGCAACTGAAGGCACAGCCCAGTGTCAGCCAAGTGCATGTGCCTAGGATGTTATCAACAGCAGGAAAGCAACACCACCAGTGTGTGCCCACAAGCTGACAAGGCAGAAAGCTCTTACCTGCCTGGCCACCCTCCGAGCTTCCCAGTAAGGTTTAGAGTCTTCTACAGCTTTTCCAATCTTCTTGACCAGCTCATCCAGTTTCACTGTGGCCTCCACCAGCACAGAGCGGAACTTCTGGCGCGCATCCTTCAAAACGGTGCAGGAAGGGAAGAAAGGACAAAGGCAGATTAGAGATTTAAAAATTATTTCTACCTGTTTGTTCCTACCTTCAGGTTCCTCTTTAGATTCACACAGGAGCTGACACATTCAGAACAGTCACTGGCATTTGGATTAAGGCAGAATTTTTCAGCAGAGGAGCCCTGGAACCCAGAGCCAAATCCTAAAGCTGGCATCCTGGACACCAAATCTTTGTTTTTCAGTGACAGCTTTCATACAAAGCCTACAACAGCCTGTTCTAGATGTTACCTCTGGCAGGGTTTCTCAGAGAGGAATTGTTTGTAAATTACTCACTCTGTGAGGAGGCAAACAGCAGTGAAACAAGCTCTGAGAGGGACTTCAATGGCAAAGACATCTCACATACATAAAGCAAGAATGGTGCTAGCAGGCAGGCCAAACCCCACAGCAGGCTGGCAAATCAGCTGGAATTGGCACAGAAAACACATCTTTTCAGCTGTGGTTTCTATCAATGGAGAAGGGCACCTACATTCCACTTCACTGTTAATATTTTCTATATTTAAAAAACCCAGCTACTTCCAAACAGGATGAGCTGCGCTCCTTACATGATTAGCTAAAGCAATTAAAATATTTTCTCTGCTCCGCTGAAATTTCCACACATGTAAGCAAAGTGATTCTGATTTCAATCTCAGAATCCACCACAGACTCTAAATATATGAAATTATTGCAGATTGATGCAAATTCAGGCTGGGACCTGGCCCAGGATTTAAGGAGATGAAGAGGAAGGGCCATGTGAGCTCTCAACAAGGCTTGTAACTCTAATTAGAGTGCAACATTTATGCAGACTGCTGGAGTGACACGTTGATAATCAGGAAGCAGCTGGCTTCAAGAAGTGCCCTAATTCAGGAGGGTTTTGTCATTATTGTTGACAATTTCTAGAATGCAAAACTGCTTATTCACTGGAAGATTTAAAATACATTGCAAGCTGCCACTATGCTCTCAGAAGTGGAAAAAAAATGCAACAATACATCAGTTTTTGCAGAAAAAGCAATATACTTCTGTAAAAGCTTCTCTGCTTCCTTTTTAGTGTTATGTAAAACTGAACCAGCATCAGCATTATCTTAGTCCAGGCCAAATAGCTTTGGATTCTTAAGGTACTCCAATTTATTCTAAGAAATTATTCAAATGGGTAACAAGGTCAAAAATGGGGAATTAAATGGACATTAACTTATTATTTCATTAACTCAAACCAGTCAATAATCTCATTTCTCAGTGAAAGCCTGAAATGTATCATTTAGACAATATTTATCAAGTCAATGATTTTCTCAGTGAGAAGAATTTGAATATTTCCAATTAAGTTACTGGACCATACATGGCTCACTGCTCAAAATGAGTTTCATAAGTAACTGAAAAAAGACTCCAAGCATGATGACTATATTGCAAGAAAAATAATAAGTACTGAAGTATATTTAACAAAGCGAAAAATTCTTTGCAGGTGTAGGAACAGAACTAAAAGCTCATTTCTAAATGAATGAGCCAGAAGATTTCACTCTCTTTGTGAAAGCTGCATTTAAGGATATTAGTTAGGCAAAATAGTTTAAGTCAAAAAATCCCAATGCAGTGATTCATCACCAAGTTCAGTTCCCATGTTTGTAAGATCACTTGGAACAAAGAAACCATCACTACAAATCTGTGCTCGGAGACCTACCCCAAATTTACTCATGTAATAATTATACACAGTCTTATCCCATAGGAGAAAGATGACTAGTCCCAACTTGGAGTTTAAAAATACAAAACAAAAGAAAACAAAGGACACTAAGAACAAAGCAGTCAAATTAACAGCAACTTCTGTACCCATTCATCTCCCTTGAACTCTGAAGCATATACAAATTACTGAACTCCAAGTGCTCCTCTAGCTGGTGCCTGAAGCACAGATCTTACAAATGGTGAAGCAGACATTTGCCCAGGAGCAAACTCCACTCCACAAAGTAGTTAGTCACACAGAATATGGAGCTTCAGCTGAAAAACACACTGGTGTGGAACCCCAGTTTATCATTTTCCTCCAAAGATGACTGGCTCTTCTTTTAAGGCTTAATTTGGGTCTGGCCACCCTCATTCTTGCAGCAAAGAACAAAAATGAAAACCAAAGCACCCCAGAACTTTGTATCATCCATCGCAGCTTATTTTAGTGACATTTATTCTCAGGCTCCTGACTGCCAGGAACACAAGCCTGCAGGCTCCAACACCTTCTGCATGGCAGAACAAGCAGATGCTCAGTTCTCTGCTGGGATGAGACCCCCACCAAAGGTTTCCAGCCATCCCCTTCAGTGGTTCAAAGCTATAAATCCTCCTAACAGTGTTTTCTGTGAGGACACTCACATCAAAAACTCAGAGGCTCAGAACAGCACATCAGTGCAGCTCATTCGTGGTCCCCAGCACAGGGTAAGTCCTACACCCATGTCAGAAAGACAACCACAACGTTTTCAGGCTACTTATCAAATCCTCTGGTGTGACTTGCCCCTCCATACAAGTGTTACTATTTAACTGCCAAACTCTTGCCTCATTTAGACCTTTATCTTGCACACACAGATAACAGAGAAAGGAAAATATGTCAATTCCTGCAACTTGCTGTCGTGAGCAAAACCAAGACAGTGCAGCATATGGCATAGAAATTTTCTAGCACAGTCCTCAGTCTCTAGCTTCTGCATTTCAGTTTCTTGAAAGATAACTCATTCCAGCAGAAATGCTATTCATTGATAACAGCAGCCTTAGGTAACATGTGAGTCACACTCATAATTTCTGGGTCAGTTTTTATGTTTTGGGTTTTTTTTCTTTTTTAAAAACACATTTTGTTTTTCTCATCACTGCACTGAACACATACACAGACTCTAACAGAAGCAATGCAACTGACATGAGACATCTCAAACATCCTGACATTTTTAAAGTGTGTTTTTTCCCCTCTACTCACTCCTAATCTTCTGTGATCATTTTTAAGAACACCTTGCTTCTGATTTCAGAAATAGAAAGGTGACATTGAAAACGTTAGCCAGTCAGCATTCTATGTTTTTGCCCCCTCCTATTTGCTCAAATGAGATGATGATAAACCTTTTACAAGCTAGACAAAAGCCGATTAAGGCATTTATCCTCAATGTGTGTTGCAAGGTTAAAAAAAAAAAAAACAAAAAAACAGCAGGAGAAGCTTCTTACTTCAATTAGAGCCTTAACAAGGAGACTCTCACTAGCTAGGTGTTTGTCATACACACACTCCAGCAGGCAGAGCACTCGGTGTAGCACGTGAACAGCTGCAGTTTACATTTCAACATCTTGTTCTATGGCTGCAAGAGCTCCATGCTCATCAGCTTTCTTTCTGGAAATCCTCAGCACTTTTCTTTCAAATGAGATTTCACTAGTGTTGTCTTAAGGAGCATGCCAGACCTCTACCCCATATATGGTTTTGCTGCAATAGTTCATTGTTAAAAGCAGACTTTGTTTTGCCGCTGGGCAGCTTTTTGATACTGCACCAGAAAGAGGGACCACACTTAAGGACAGGACATCCTTACAGCAGCATTTTGAAGATCCATTCTCAAATGTGGGGAAAAATCTGAAAAGCTAAAATACAATATTCAACTCATACTGCACATGTCAGAGGAAAAAAGCATGCCTGTTTTCGTCACTCATGAGTGATGGTGATGAGCTGGTGTTAATGCCAGATGACAAGTAAATAACTATTTCTGCCCATCAAATGAAACATGTATTTTCAAACAATTCTATTTTTAAAATGAGCTTTCCATATCAACCATGTCTGAATCATCCTAGTACCAAGCACTTCCAAATTTCATTTACAAAGGTTGTCTCGTGACCGTTCTGCCAGTCTGGTGTGCAGAACCTCTGGCAAGCACGGGAGGTGCATGGAAATGGAATTGCTGGCTGAGAGACAGCCTTCATCTATTTCCAGGAGGCTGACAGGATCCATACCATCTCCTCTGCTACAAAGACCCAGCAGCTGCAAAAGCTCATCTCCAAGCCAAACCAGCATCAGCATCATACCTCCACACCAACAAGTGTGTGCTCAGAAATCCACCTTCAAGCATTCAATCAGTTAAAGACACTTTAAATGTCTCTTTGGTACCTGAGCAGCTCAAGTAAGCCAGACAGGCAACCAAATCTTAAAAACAAGATTTTTTAAAAACAAGCGCAAGGAAGGAAAAAAGTAGTAGTATCTCAATTTTTAAGGGATAAGAAAAGTCTTTGGTTTGGGGTTTTTTTTGGGCAGCTACTAATTTGCCATCTAAGACCAATTAAAAAATCAGCGCCTGAAAGCTGCTCTAACCTCCTGCTTGCAGTAGTTACAAACTGAGACTACCAATACTTTTTACTACAAATATTTTAAATTCTCTCAGAAGAAGAGAGAAGAAAGCAGGCATGGGAGGGTGAGTGCTCCTTCCAAAGCAAGAATTCCCCACCTAACCCTTCCTCTCTCAGACTGGAAACCCATCTTTACGTCAAGAAAACAAACCAAGTAAAGCCCTTTGACTCACTTGGTTGACAAAATTTTTCCAGAGCCACAGCAGAGGAAGAAGCCTTCCCTTGCTCATCCTTGGATGAAAGCAGAAGGCAAAACAACAAGGAATTCACACACAGGAGCCATTTCCTATGGAAGCAAGTAGATCACAAAGAAATGTGGAAAGATTTGACCTGATAGCGCTGGACAAATCCATCACACATGTACATCCTCCTCCCAAAGCCAGCAGGAACAGCAGCCAGTGAGCTGCTCTGCCCTTATCTCTGCATTCTTTTGTGGACACTGGAAAACGCTGCACAGGGATACTGATAAGGTGGCGGATGTTTCCACTGATGGATGTTTCCTCAAGCCAAGCAGGCACGCTCAGAATGAGATTCCAGACACTGAGAGGTCATTTTTCTAAAACCTGAAAGATGGAGGATTTTTCTTTAAAACCTACTTACATGTTTTATATGTGACAGGGTCAACAGCTCAAGTTTTTTTCCTAAAGCCAAGTATTTTAGTGAAGAAGTAAGAAGCAATTCAAAATAACTGGTGAATATCTGCCTGCCAGTGGGAAGCAGAGAATTAATTCCTTGTTTTGCTTTGCTTGTGTGTGCAGCTTTTGCTTTACTTAACTGCCTTTATCTCAACCCATGGGTTTTTCACTTCTACTCTTCTGCTTCTCCCACAATGGCAGAGAGGGAGCAAGGGCCTGTGTCATGCTTAGCAGCTAGCTGGGGTTAAACCATGACAAAAAGTCCTTCCCCTTCTCAGAGGGGCTCAAATGCTGACAAGGCTCACCAGTGAAAAAGCACCACAACTAATAAACCCCTTCCCTAATATCCAGCAACAACCCAGGGTGACCTTTATGATAAACCCAGGACTGAAAGTAACACAAAGTGCTGCAGATCAGGACTAGGGGATCACACAAGAAGGATGCCAGCCAGGCCCTCTGATAAGGGCATGGCTGAAAGCAGCACTGATCAGCTCCAGTCTTCCTGGGCAGTATCTGAACAAACACTGGCAAGCTCGTAGCTCCAGCAACACAAAAAACTCTCTCTAACAAAAACCACATTTGGGATAGCTGGGATTCCAGTGGTAACTTTCATGGTATGTGCTGCATTTCCCCTCCCCACAAGGCTGCCAGAGGGTCCCCGGGTTAATTTGTTACAGCTGAGTTGTACTTTCAGCGCCAGTCCAAGCCCTCTGTGGGCTGGCTGGACAGACAAACCCTGCACATTTTGTTAAGGACATTCACAGCTCCTGATGCGGGTTCAGATGGAGATGCACTTCCAATAAACAGGAAAAACCTCTTGCATTTGGCCAAAGCACACTTGTATCTCGCCTGCAAGGCGTTTCCCCCAGCCCTTCACAGACACTTGAAACATAAACAGGGACATTAGCAAAGCCAAGTGTTCAATCCCTCAGAGAACCCTTATCACCCTTCTGCTGTGTCAGTAATGCTCAGTGCTGCACTTAGGACGAGCAGCATTATGGATTTTAAATCAAGTCTAATCAAAGATTCATTAACAGGCAATACATTAATGCAACACATAACCACCAGCCACTCGGTGCCCTTCAGCAGCTCTGCAGCTCCTGAACATGCAGCGAGTGTCAGCAGGTCAGGATGTTTCTTCAGGGTTTAATAGGATAGGTCAAAAGGGCAAAAAATGAGTAATTCTTCCAAGTAAAAGAATATATGCATCCAACTTCAATGTATCTGCTCAAGCCATGCCATGCATGTATATCCTGTGCTCTCACAGGCAGTATGGGTGCAGAATTTATTTTAAAAGATTAAAAAACCCAGGCTGTTCAACTTAAAAATAGGTCATATGGCACTTTCAGAGCAGAACTTAAAGAAGTGTCAGGCTGGTGAACTCAAAACAGAATTCCCCATTTTATCACCTCTGTAAGCAGCAGACACCAGTATTTTCTACATTGCTCAAACAAGGACATTCCTGTGGCTACTCCAGGCCAGTGCAGCCTCAAAATCCTCGAAACCTCTATGGAATTCAGCCCATAACATTTTCCACTGGGCAACACAGCATTATTACTTCCACTCTGCAGATGCAGACCTGAGGCACAGCGAGGACTGAAGCATGGGTTTAGAAGGATTTAACAGCTTTTTTTTCCAGTTAATGGGAACTGGAGACAGCCAGAATTCTCACTTAGAGCAAGTCACACAAAGCTACATACAGGAAGTCCAGAAAAGTCTTGCAGAATTCAGATGCCACAAGGTTACCCTTCCTGCTTATCAGAGAGAACATCAAGTCACAAAAACATGGGTGTCTTTTTCTGAACTTCCTTCAAAGAAATATACCTTCTACTCAAACATTCCCATTGCTTTTCCAGATTATTCTGGGAAAAAAATCAGCAGTGGGAATCTATGGACCACAAAGTAACATTACAGGAAGCTGGCCGTCAGCAACTCGTGCTCTAAATAATGCAATGATACATCTATGTTCCCATTAAAGATATTGGAAAGATAAAGAAAATTATACTAGCAAAACAGGATAAATATAACTCCATTGTCTGGTTAAAAAACACCTACACACATCTCTCTTCCAATGAAATATAGCAGGAACACCACAAACTAGGAAGGGGCAGCAAGAGGGACCCAAAGCAGCTAATAAGAGCCAAAAGTGTAAATCTTCAAAGGGAAGCTCAGCATGGCTCTCCCAGAAGCCCACATTTTCAACAGCATTCATGGGTTTTGGAAGCCTTTGAAGCAGAATGATCCCAGTTCCAAACTCCTCCTTCCAAACTTTCCTATAAGGCTGCTTGGCAAATTTTTCTTTTCTTGTGCAGAGCATGAATGCAGAGATTTTCTGCTAACCACAAGTGTTGGGTGTCGTGGGATTTTTTTTTTCCTTTCCCCTAGACAGGTTTTAAGTCCATTTAAAATGCATTTATCAACCTGTATATAAATTAAGCATTGCTTACATCATCCAAACTGCATATTTAAGCAGATAAAATGTAATGAAAATCTTTACAGATTAAAAATTATGCAGTTGCATGATACCACAAACTGGCACCCATCCAATAATAAGATTTTTGGATGAAAAGCAAAGAGGAAACATTCGAGAAAGCATCCTCTTGGTGGTATTTCACCTTAATTCCATCAAAAACTGCTTACAGTAAGTAGTACAGACAGATCTGCAGCAAACACTTAATGGCAAATGCAGAGAATGATTATATGATTTTCTACCTATCTAACACCTGGTATTTACCAGGCTGAGCAAGCAACAATGTAAGACCAAGGTAATGTGGAAATTCTGCTCCTTTATTTACAGTTATATTTCCAGGAGCCTTTCAGCCTCTACAGCTCAGCATGTGCCACACACACAGCAGCTACAAATCTGCAGGCTCCCCAAACACTTGATCACATGAATAATTTTAATCAAGCAGCAAAATCCCATCTTAAAGTCACTGGGATTTATTTCATGAGGATGCCTTTGCATTATTATTACTATTCCATCTGCTTCATAATATGTCCTCAGTGCAAGGTTATGACAAAATTAATGAAATCCAGGCAACTATCCATAGCACCATCTTTCAATTTCAGTACCTCAGCATGAAATAAGGAGACTGAAAAGATACATATGATAATTTTTTTCAATATATCTATATAAAGATTCCTGAAGTCCATTTAATTGCTACTGGTGCAGACTAGAATACTGATTTTTAAAGTTCACTCATAAAATTTAAATCATGCTAGTGCCACTGAACAGTTCTCACAGCAAAAATACTGTTTCATTATGCATAGCAAATAGTTCCCATTTAACTAAGTTTATTAACCAATGAATTCATGATCTACATGCCAAAATGACAGAATATGCAAACAAGTGAGGATAAGAAAAAAGCTACAAGACAAGGCTTGTCCAAAGATCATAACCCCATTTTCTGTTCAGTGCTTTCAGTGGATATTCCAGCATTTTAAAATTCTACCAAGAACCACCCCATGCTTGAGGTATCCATTTCATGAAAAGACACACAAGAGGGAAAAAAAAATTAAAAAGAAACAAACAAATAAACCATAATTTGATATTTTGAAGGTACAGACAGAAATCTACATATGTACTTTTATAGTATGTTCCTCACTGCAATCTCAGAATGTTTTAATACAGTATTCAAGACTTTGTAATGATATCAAAATTATTTAGGATGTAAAGTAATATTTTATGCCAGTTTTTCTTTAGCAGCATATTTATCTTATACTTCCATTGTGTTTATCTTTTTTGTTTTGCAAACAAAAGAAAATTCAGACACACACACAGGATAGTTTGTTTTGCATCACTATTAGATCAATAATGCTGAGCCTTCCAGAATAACTACCAAGTAGATGAAGCTCAAATTTGGGGATTTAGAAACAATTTCTTCAGAACTTGCTATTAGATTTTTAAGTATCCACTAAAACCTCTCTGTATAAGCAGGAAGTCTTTTATTCCAACTTTCCTTCATCACCTTCCTTGCTCAGGAAGTGATGACAAAAAAGGCAAAGATAACAATCTAAAAAAACCCCGAACAGCCACCAAAGAGAAGATCCTGGCAGACAGTTGTATGGCAAAAACCTCTTAGCCAAATAACTTTCCCTGTCTATAATCAACAAACACAAAACAGTGACTTGTAAAAATAAAACTTGTCTAAGCTTAGTGTCAAAACCTAAAAATAAGTTCTGGCAGTGGTTGTGTGTGAGGTTCTCCACACAGGGTTTTTCCACTGTCAGAATACCTCTACCTTTCCCTGTTAGGTCAATTCATACCTTTAAAAACATCATCACCAGACTCTTGCTGCAAAATTACCATTCAGGATGCACAAATTAAGGAGGCAACCCACTCAAAAACATTGTCCTTTCATTCACAAAATCCAACATGCACAAAAGGAAAATGCAAGGGTAAATTCTGTACCTCCAGCTCCGTCTCTCTGCGATTGATATCATCTGTAGATTGATTCAGTTTTTCTAGCTCCCCCTAGAAGGAAAGAAAGTCGGATGCATAGTAAGAAATCAGGGAAAAAAACATGTCTGAGAAGGCTCATTCAGCATCCCCACTGAAAGCTCACAAGGGCTGTGGCCAATGAATTTAGTGAAAAGAGGAAACCTTGAGATGCCCAGCTTAACTTTGCCACTGGTCTTCTACTTTGCTACTTAAAAGAAAAAATAATCAGAGAAGATCTATAGCTTCATGTTAAGGCAACACATTTCCTATTCTGGTTACTTCTTCACTGTTACAAATAAACACTAGGTACAGTAAGCTCAATATAGTCAGTATCAGAGAGGTACTTGAGAGACAGACACACCCACCCCAGAAGAGCAGCAAAGTCTGTACTATCACAGGAGACACGCAGTGAAAGGACAGAACTGATAAGAAACACATCTTGCCACACGAGAAGTATTTTATTTTGGATTTTAGCAAATCATTTCTTAACCCAACCAGTCCATGGGAGAAATACAATTATGTTTACATAATTTGCCTTCCTGCCAACACTTTGATCCCCTAACAGCAGAAACAAAGGTGTTAAATCCCTTGAATAAATACGTAGTAGAAGTGGTGTTGGCATGAATGAAGTTACTGTAAAAATAAAGCTCATTCTTACTGACTTTCTTGCCTCAAAAAGCAACCCTTAGGAAGAGATCTGATAGCTTTCTTTATCTGGGCAACATGATTATAAGATTTTTAACAGGAATGTTCTCCAATTTAAACGTTATTTAATTGTCAACCAGTGTAACAGAACACGCCTGGAAATGTTTTGCTGTACAAACCAAACGTTGTAAATTGATTGTCACTTGAGCAGCTTTCCACTGGACTACAAGAATGACTCTGGTTACAACCAGAAAGGAATTCATTACAACAGTTTAGCTCTCTTATCCCCAGCAGTCAGATTTCATTTCCTACTCCTAGGACTTGGAAAACACCTACTTGGTTATCCATGTTGTCTGAAACAAACACTCATCCAAAAATTACCTAATTGTCTCTTACTGTAAGGCTCAAAACCTCATGGGTCTCACGGAAGCAGACACAGCAGCCTGTTTTTCCAACCAAACAGAAAACTGAACAGAAACAATTGTTTTGCCAACAATTCACAAATGGTATACGTGGAAACGTGTAGCAAGCTGAAGAACCTAAGGTCAAAATTAGATCAATAGACACCAACCAAGCTCAGCCTCTTAAAATCAGGGCAGTACCAGGCTAGCTTTTGGCTGAGGGCCCCGCTCTGTGTAACCATGTTTTGGGAATTTTGCAATGGCTCTGCACAGCCCTGGAAAACAAAATGCTCACGATGGAGAAAAGTATGACAATTACAGCGAGCAGGGACCTACGCCAAGGATCCTCTCAGCAATGTACACACGTGTTATATTCATTCATGACAAGCAGTACCAGCAATGCTGGAGGCAAAAGCCATAAATCTGCAGAGACCTAAAAATACATTTCATTTCAGGGACCACAGTGTGCTGCAAGTTTGCACCGTGCTATTGGTCGAGACACGATTTTGGGGAGAAAAGCTTTGTTTAGAAACCATGCAAGAATAAAAACCATTGCAGAAGGCATTCACTGAGAGGAAGCACCATATTCCACTAAAGCTCCTTTTTACAAGAAACAAGAAAACAATGATAAAAATAACGAGACAAAATTTAAAACCCCATTTTCCCGCATTTATGAATTTCTAAGCCCCGCTCCACGAGCAAGGTCACGCTGTCATGGTCAAAACTAAAAAGGGGAAGGGGGATTTCGGCGGCAGCAG